GTTGAGAGTGACTCTTGAAGGACCAGCACCACATCCTCTTGTACCACTGTTTGAAGAATTGATCTTCCAAAATCTGGCAGTAAGTTTTAGGAGTTCATTTTTGTCAGTCTCTGCAAGACACACTTCTCAGGATAGGAGATGGACTAAAAATGAACTCCCAAAACTTACTGCAACATGGAGCTAAGGAGAAAATGTAGAACTTGAAAAAATGGAAAAACAGCTTAGTGAAAAGCGTTTACAGTTTAAAAGCAAATAGAAAGTCCTATTTTTTAAATTTATTTTCTTAATATTTTTTTTGCAGATTTGCACATGTACAAGGTTTAAAATGTTCATGAAATATTTTCAAAAAATACTGACGTTTGAGCAGCTGCATTCCTCTAGGTCAAAGATGAAAAAATGGGATTTACAATAAAAAGTAATTTACAAAATTTATTTATTAATGAGTAATGTATCTTTTCAGTGAATGTGCAAATTTGTAATGTTATCAGCTTTTACCATGTTATTACAACATTTAACCACTTTTTATTAATTTAAAAATTGAGAAATTCTTTCAAATTTAAATCTTGTACAAGAACTACAGCAAAAGTCAGTTTGATGCATATTTGATCAATATTTTAGAAATTTAATTTGAATATTACCAGTACTGACTTCAATGGATTTCATTCAATTTCTTTGAACACGACTGCTCAAAACGGTCTAAATTTATGAAACCTACACATTCAAAACATTATTACTCTGAAATGTTTTATGTAAATGTTAAGTGTAAGTGGTGAAATGTTAAGTAATGTAAGGTCTTTCATGACACTACATATGCTGGGGTGTGAATTTGATAGGTGCTTGATATAAAATAAATGGTGCTTTAAAAAGTCCTTGAATCTGGTGTTCATGAAAGAGTGGGAACCCTGTAAAATGGAAAATGATAAAATTACAGTATTACACATCTTCTTAAGATGTAAGATGTAGCTTCTGAGAAAGTTTGTTTGTTTATTTATTTATTTATTTATTTTAATTTGTTTTTCATTCGAGTTGGATCTTTTGCCTTTCTCATCTAATTTAGATAACTGGTCTGAATAATATGAATGACTCATTGACTCATTTATCTGATTGCAGCAATAATTTAGTTAACAGCTCACTGGAGAAGACAATTTAGTGTTCTGTAGAAGGAAAAAAAAACATTGTTTTAAGTAAGAGGTAGAACTGTTTATAGGAACCTGACAATGAATTGACTGTCATTTTCATTGTTGTATTTTTTATTACTGATTTATTAAAGCAATTGTCTGTAGTTCACTCAAAAATAAACATTGTCAAAAGGTCGCAACCCATATTCGTTTTTCTTTTTTTTTTCCATGGAGCACAAAATATAACCTTCACATTGATCTTCTTCACACAAAAACAGACCACAGGCTGTCAATCTAGCTCCAAAAAAGTAGTGCAAGTCTTCTGAAGCCAGGAGCTACTTCTGTGTGTTTATCTTTACTTCTGCTGCAGCTCTTCAAATATGCTGCCATGGGTAACTTGCACAGAAAAGCTTACACTGAAGCTTGCCGCATCTTATTTCTAGACAAAACAGCATCACTTCTCATGTGTGTAGTATTTATGCATAATACACTATTTTAGAATTTTGGACATGAATGTGTTCTAGTGATAAGAGTTCAAGATTATAATGAATTAAAGCTGCAGTCATTAGAGATTTAATTATCGAATAGCGAATTCGGAAATAATCGCTTTAGTACATTCGGCAGGCAACTATATAATAATAATATTAAAATATATGATGTAGCTGCATTAACAACATATTGAAAATACATGGTCAAGCCAGTTGGCCTAAACCTTCACATAATAACAAAAAGCAGTTGAATTTAAGTTGAATTGTAAGAATGAAAATCAGACGCTCCTTGTTGTGAGCATATGAACATTTAAAATCTTACTAAAGGCATAAACTATATAACCAAATGTACATGAACACCCTGTAAATGAATGGTTTTTGAAAATTGAAGCTACATAAAGCTACATATAAAATTAAGCATACAGTCATGCAGTCTCCTTAGACAAACTTTTTAATACCCTTTCTGTTTCAGCATTACATGTCTCACAATGTGAGATTCATAAAGAAATAATTCCCTAAATCTGGTGTGGAAGAACTTGACTGACCTGCACAAATCCCAGAAACCCACTAAACACTTTCAAGATGAATTGGCATGCCAAATGAGAGTCAAACCACATGATCCAACATGAGTACATGACCTCACTTTAGCTCTTGTGTCTCAATGGCAGCAGATGCCCACAACCTTTCCAGAAGATTCAAGGTTGTTTTAGTAGCAATGGGAGGGCCAACTCCTTATTAATACCCATTAATGACTGTAAAAATGAAATATTTTTACTTGCAACTTTTGGCCATGGAGTGTATAAATATTTTACAAAAGAAACAAATTGTTGACACAGAATGCAGTTCATTGGAAGATTCCAGATAGAATTAAATGTCTCATGGTCATTTCTGTGTTTCAGGTCATCATTGACGTGCCCTCATTGCCTTAAACAGAGCAACACCTTTGACCCTTTCCTGTGTATTTCACTTCCAATCCCACTGCGACAGACTAGGTATGTTACTGTGTCTTCTGTCTCTATTTCTTTGGAATCTATTAGGACTGTTTGTCTTTATATGTATTTTTATGTGTGTTTCATTATATGCTTGTCTGTGTACCTTTGCTATTGTGTGTTTAAGTTTGTTTGTGTCCTTAGCAACCCAGAAATACTGCATGTGATGAATGATCAAGTGCACAGCTCTTAACAGGACATTGTCACAATTTTCTTAAATCTCAAAAACTGCCAGTCAGCAAAATCTCTCCAGTGAGACTTGTCAACCTGTCAGAAAGACCGATAATAGAATGAGAGAAATAAATAGAGAGAACTATGGCTCATCATGAATGCTTGTACCAGTAATACTGTCTGAAACACTCAGATTTCCCAGCATGCTCATCTCTGAATCACTAACCTCCAGTTTTCACATTCATTTTATTGAAAATGGAATATTTAGGAGCACTGAAAGCTTAGGGAGCCAAATTTGAAGGTCGTCAGTAAGTCAGTGAGTGCTAGTTTTAGTGCTAAAACCTACCATACTTATTGTTATGAATTATTACAAAGACATCAAATTAGATTAGACAAATGCCATGGACAGACAGAAACAATTCTGCCAGTTCTAGCACTGCTTGCATATGAGCTGAACTCCTGGGCAAGACTTTAGGGAGCCAATCAGACGTCCTCAGTCTACAGGTCACAAGTGCCGCTGGTCATCCTCTGCCAACAGAGAGACCAAATACAATAAATCAGATCTCTTTCATTGAGATGTTGGCTGAAACTCATCAAAACTTTCTCATTTTTAGTAAAATAAATGAATTCTCATTAATGTAATACAATCTGTACACAATATTTTTTAAATTAAACTAGAAAAAAAGATTTTTTTCTTCATTTTTGCACAAGCGATACTGCTATGTTGTATACTTACAATTGTATTTTACAAATATAGGCTACTTCACAATTTCAAGGATTAGTTCACCCAAAAAGGTAAATTGTTATGACTGAATATTTGAGCCAGATGTAGCCAGATTAAACTTGAGAACCAGTTAAGTACAAATCATTCAATCCAGTTCTGTGAAGTGGATCAACCAATTTATTACAATGATCTGATTAAAAAGAATGGTTCTTTCACAAATCAGATATCACTATTTCTATCATCACTTCTCATCTCTCATTAATGCACTGCAGTCTGTTTCTCACAGAAAATCATTGTATTGCTTTAGAAAACGTAAAATATCAACCCAGGCTCATTGGAAAAACATGCCACTGGCGACATTTCTGCAAAATGGTGTTACATTGCTTCTTGCATGTTTCACAACACTGAAATGTCCAATGGGTGGTCCTTAAAGGGGTCATGACATGTTTATTTTTTATTTTGTTCCCTGAGGTGCAATTATAATATTACTTATGTTTTTTGGATGAAAAACATTCAAATTTGAGTGATTTATGACCTTTTTCCACCCTGTTTCTCATCCTCTGACTGAACAGTAGGTTTTGGGGTGTTTTCCCTTTAAAGGTGGGGTAACTCATTTCTGGTAGCCAATGTTGACATTTCAAATCACCAAAACGAACACGCCCCTACCCCAAAAGGGTCTCGCCCCTATTTTGATAGCTCCGCCCCACACATACGTACGCAACGATTAGTTCTGTGATACAAAGCAAAACCAATGTTACACCGTGTCTACACCGGATGCGAGCGGCGCAACAAAATACTATAGAACTCATTATAATCAGTGATGCTGTCTACACCACAGATATACAGTATATACATGTCTATGGTCTACTCTGGATGCAGCGCGACACGACAAATCCCCGACAGAAAACTGCTGCTGCGTTCTATTCATGACGTATTGACACAAATTTCAAATGATTTTCAACGGTCGCTTTGTTGCGTCCAGTGTAGACAGACTTTAGCTTCTTGCCTTATCGTAAGCCTTCTTTTGTTCCGCAGACATTTTCCTCTTTTGTTTTTTATCCGCCATCTCTATCTTTCTGTCGTCGCTCGGCTCGGCTAATGTCCGTCCTGTGCACTGAGCGCTCTCTCCTCTGCATCATGAGTAGACATGCCCCTTACTGCTGATTGGCTACAAGTTTGTTTTGGTACTCGGCCCGACTCAGTTTTCTAAAGCGTTTTTGAAAAAATACATACCCCATCTTTAAGAGGTCAGTGTAACATCCATTACCGCCAATACAGTTTTAAAAATAGTTTTTACATGAAATACGTTACTTACAGTTTGTGGTGTCGTTGTTGGGTCCAGAACAGTTGGCACGGCCTGATCTTTGAGCAAAAGTATTTTGGCAAAGCCTGCATCATACTGCAATTTGTTCTCAGAACAGTGAACTGTGAAATGTACTGAATTAGCACTGACGTGACTTGATCTGAATCCATTTTTCTCTGGCGTCGGGATCTTTCGGCAGCGTATACAAATATGTTGTTTTTTCACAGCCAGAAATGGCACATCGTCTACCTGGCATCGCAGTCTTATTGTAAACAACTACTCCTTCAGACCCACTCACTGCACGTCGACTGAACACCTGTGGGCATGACAACGATGCGATGATGCAAAAATAGGCATAGTTGTCTTGCTCTGGAGGCGGTCATATGCAAACGACTGTGCCCAGGTGACGTCACCTTATCCCTCTGATCCAATACAAGCCATTTTCTGAGGGTTATTACATAAATGCTTTTTTATTTATGATGAGGACATTTTAAGTTATGAAACTTGCAGGATGTATTAAAGGGATACTCCAGCCCAAAATGAAAATTTTGTCATTAATCACTTACCCCCATGTCGTTCCAAACCCCTAAAAGCTTCGTTCGTCTTCGGAACACAATTTAGGATATTTTGGATGAAAACCGGGGAGGCTTGTGACTGTCCGATTGACTGCCAAGTAAATTACACTGTCAAGGTCCAGAAAAGTATGAAAGGCATCGTCAGAATAGTCCATCTGCCATCAGTGGTTCAACCGTAATGTTATGAAGTGACAAGAATACATTTTGTACATGAAGAAAAAAAAAAAACGACTTTATTCAACAATTTGTCTCCTCTGTGTCTCTCTGCATCACTGTAGCGCCATTTTGGAGAATATCCACTGAACACAAGCAGCGCACGCTATTCTATGCTATATACGCTAATCCTCCGACATTCTTCTTTACAAATCCTCGTTTTGTACTTCTAATAAGTGAAGTTGTTTTCTTTTGATCTCTCCCCTGCGCTTCCGTGCTGGTCACTTCTGAGCGGCGCATGCGCAAAGCCGATCTCGTACGTCATCCTCCTGCTTCTTCCGTTTACAACAGTGAGCGCAAGCTAGATTAAATTGATTATTACGTTTTAAATATGGATATTTTTCTTTCAAAAACGCATCGATTCGCTACAGGAGGCCTTTGTTCACCCCCCGGAGTCGTGTGAGACACTTTTTTTTATGGATGGGTGCTTTTTATTTCACTTCTTTTGGACTGATGCACTGCAACACCTGCTAACTGCCATTAAACAGCTTGAAAGATCAAAGACAGTTTTTAATATAACTCCGACTGGATTCGTCTGAAAGAAGAAAGTCATATACACCTAGGATGACTTGAGGGTGAGTAATTTATGGACTAATTTTCATTTTTGGGTGAACTAACCCTTTAAAGCTCTTTTATTATGACTTGTTTTTCACTGATGCCTGAGCACTTCACATCGCAAGTGCAGTGCTGTACCAGGTGAGCTACTGAGTCACTACTATGTCAGAAAAATGAGACATATGGAGCTAGTTATATGATGCAAACCTCAAAATGTATTAGTTTACAAATCATGCACAGTACAAATGGCCATAAAAGTCATTGAGTTTTACTGCCACTTGTGTTCTTTTCAGCTGAAAACTGTGGCTGCATTAAGAAGTCACAATGAAACGAATTAAATTAATCTTATGTTTTTAAAATAGGCTTCAAATATGAGTTTTTTTCTTATTTCCTTTTTTTGATTTTGGGGTGAAACATGATCTGGACATTTATTTTTGTCAGATTCACCCATATTAGTGCATTCAGTTTTGACATTAATGGATATTATATGTGATTAAGCTTATGTCTGCACAGACATTTGGCATGCAGTAGACTACTTTTCAAAGTAATTGTACGCAAATATGTCTTTGCAAGAAGTAACACATCCAACCTGCATTTTAACACACCCAAATGCACTCTGAAAACACAGAATAAGCTCAGTCTGATTGACTCCACATATATGAACCCCTGTCACATGACTCTCACCTCTGCGTGCCACCAGAGATAAAATCTAAAAGGCTTCAGTTGTCTTCTCACTGGTCCACTCGAGTGAGAGTGTGGTTTTGTATAACTGAGTGCTTTTGTTGCATCCAGCATTTCACATATGGCTTTCAGTAATGCAGCAGAGAGGCATCTGAAAGTCCATCCAAGTCTTTAGAGCCACAACTGCAGCTGCAGTGAAAAATGTGGCTTCATTGAAACCATCAGCTGCTGTGCGACTGGCTTGTGTGAGGCCATTTCCAACCAAACAAATGCAGCAGGAAACAGATCAGCTCTCGTTTCTAATGTGCTAAGCACCCTCAAATGAAATCAAAAGCACCCTCAGTTAAAGCTGTATTAATGGCATTTTATTGAATATTTGGTAAACTATCCGGTGCGTTATGGTTTGCGCTCTGGAGATCGATTTCTATGTCAATGTGTATTTGCAGCGTTGAGCATTGTAGCCAATCACAGACATATCTGTTGATTTCTTAAATCAGAGGCGTTTAAGTTAGAATCCACTCACCGCTGAAATCGCCGGAGTTTTTGTCCTGGTATTGTGTTCAGCACGAATCATCTCATTATAACAAAGTGTTGATGCATTGTGCAGCATAGAGAACTTTATTGAGAATAACGTATCTTTGTGAGATCTCGATGAACTGAGATGAATGACAGTTTTTTAGTGATTATGAACGGAACACTCTTTGCACCATAGCAACGGACGCCAATATATATATATATAGAGAAGAGAGAGGGTACAACGGGGATAAAGGCGCACCGGGGTAAAGGCGCCTTTGATATTATTTTAATCTAAACCACTAGATGGCACAAAAACGTGGCGTAGCACTTTCCAAAACATCCGCTTTTCAAGATGCACGTGTATAATTGTCTGATCCTTGACGCGATCGCACGCAGTAGCGCAAAGTTGATTCTGTGCTTACTTGAGCTAATATTTTATGTTTTTTTAAATGTTTAGCAAATGAGAATCGCTAAAATTAATGCATATATTTTGAGACAAAGGTCTTCATGATTTTCAATTTTGTTTAAGATAATTAAAGCAACAGTTTTTAAATAACGAAAGAATATGTAAAAGTATGGTATTTGGGGTAAAAAAGCGCCCCTGCTGTTGGGGCTAAAGGCTCACAGTAAGTAACATGATAATCAATAGATGGCTGACTTTTCCATTTGTTGACATGGCTTGGTTAGATTCAGATGGTAAATATCATATATTATGTTGGGTGTCCATATTAGAGATAATCACCATGTTTAGAATGAAACCATCATATTTAAAAAAACATGATATTAATATCATATAATAAAATATAATTTGTTGTTACTACTGTAAATATATATTCAATTATTATTGGATCTCCTTCAATACTTTCAGAATATTTACTTATTAAAATGATTTTGTTTCTGTATTTTAAAATATATTTTTATATTAACATATTTTAATGACTATATATATATATTGAACAAAAATTAATTCTTTTATTTTTCAAAATAAGCAGAAAATAGTACAAACTTTCCTAAAGTTATTGTTTTTAACAAGTATTAACTTAGACATTATTTAAAAAACATTATTTTAGCTTAGCTGAAGTATTTGTCTTTCTGCAATTATACATTTTAGGCGCAGTGAATAGCAATTTTTTTCTTAAGGTGGGCCTTTAGCCCCGTTGTACTATATATATATATATATATATATTGTTACAGCACCCTCACTAATTTAAGAAGCACCCTCAGTGATTTGATTCTGGAGCCGGGCCTGCTAATGTGTACCTACAAGCTGCATGTGTGTGTGTGTGTGACAGTGTTACAGTCCAGACATGCTGATTTAAATCAACTGATTTTGATTTGTTACTCACTCTCTCACACATTCTTTCATATACAGTATTGGTAAATAAGCAAAGCAATATGACAGAAGAGGATGTGTTACAGTGGCTTTAACCATGGTTAAATAGATGGTCTAATTCTGGCATCATTTCATCACTCTTATGTCATTCTAAACCTGTATTGCTTTCTTACTTCAGTGGAACACAAAAGAAGATATTTTTAAGAACTTTGAGAACCAAACAACATTGGAGCCCCTTGACTTCCATTGATCGGGGGGAAAAAAAAAACTTTTCTTCTATGTTCCACAGAAGAAAGTTAGCAATGCTGTTTTGGAATGACTTTACAGTGAGTAAATATTGACAACATTTTCATTTTTGAGTGAACTATTTTATGTTGTAGAATAAAATGTGACAATATCTTGAGCTTGTGTTAACTACAGACCTTATTTCAAGCATTTAACCAAAAACGCATTTAAAAAACACACTTGACTACAGAATTATGGAACCTGAAATGCTAAAAGGTTAACTCGTTCCGGTTTTTGGCCTACAAAAATGCGTCATCCCTGCAGCTCTCAATCCCCCATAGATTTGATCGTTACCACAAGTGCTAAGTCGTGGGTTCCCTCTGGAATTTCTAATGGGTTTTTAGAATGGTGGTTTTCAATTTATGAGTAAACATTTATGAGTGGTTACCATTACTTTAAAGAGTATTTCCCATTTTTACTCATAAATCAAAAACCTGCTTTGGTAAAAACATGTAGGAAGCCATAGTGAATTAGCTGAATTGGCCCACAAATTGATGTCATGACTGAACAGCTGCATTCCATGATGTGATAAATATGAATGTTTTTGTATGTTTAGGGCCCTGAATGTGATTCTGTTGTTCAGCACTGAAGGTCAGCGGTTTCTGAGAGTAGGGTTGGCTGTGCCTCTGTTTGGGTCTGTCTCAACACTCAGGGCCATGGTAGCAGAGGAGGGCAAGATCTCTCCAGACCAGGTGAGACCTGCTTTCTGTCATACTGTTTTGTCTCTCTTTCTCATCTTTTCCTGTTCCTGAACGAAACTGTGTGCAATACACACTCACACCAATAGTTTATTATAAAATATTGTATTGTACTGCACACGCACACACCTTACATAGTCTTGCCAAAGAAGAAATCTTCTTGTATGCGTCTTCAAGGTTCACAGACAGTAATAGCCTGTATCTCTATTCATACTCCATTAAACCTTCTCTGAACACACGCCATCTGTTGGTTAATGGAAACTTCCCAGACTTGCTCAGCCAGGGTTTAAGGTGTTATTGTGCTGCAAGATACACATTTTTGAAACCCAGTGCACACTGTTTGGCTTTTCTTGGGTCCAGCATTCCACATATCATGGCTTTTAGTAATGAATTTCTGTTCAACTTCAGAATGGCGTCGTCAGAAACTTCAGACTTTATTGATTCTCGCACATTAAGCATGTACATCACTTGTCAATGAGGACGTCAGGACATTATAAACTGTTTATGTTGTACAGCCTGATCATATTTCTCTCATTCACACCAACAACTGTTTATTATTATTATTATTATTATTATTATTATTGTTATTATTATTATTGTGGGGTGACAGTCATTTTGGTCAAATAAATAGAGCCTTTTTAGTGCACTATAGCAATAATGCACTCAAAATTAAAGTGTATAACTTATGTACACTAACCAATTTTCCATAATGCAATGCGCACATTCACATTCTATGCCTGACAAGGCAGTTTCATTTATAGCACATTTCATACACTATGACAATTTAGTGGTTTTTACATATATAGGATGAAGAGAAAGAAAATTAAACTGAGGAAGTTTATTTTTACATTTACATTTATTCATTTGGCAGACGCTTTTATCCAAAGCGACTTACAGTTGAGGAATACAAGCGATGTATCATAAAATGGCAATAAACTCGAGAAGTGCCCGTTATACAAGGATTCAGTCATCGTTCAAAATAGTAAAAGTTAGGACAGGACGTGATAAAGGATAAAAAGAGAATAGAAAAAGTGAAGGCATAGATATATATATATATATATATTTTTAGAAGGATGCAGTTAGATGCTCACGGAAGATATTAGTTTTTTTAAATCATGAGATGGATTAGTTTGCTAAAATCTTTTTAATGCTTTTGATAAGTCAATCCGTGTCAAAATATAGAGAACCACATTTATAAATGTGATACACATTTATACATTATAAAATGAATAATTTAACAGTTTATTCAAGTGTTTTAAAGGGGTCATATGATGCTTTTTTAAAGATCATTATTTTGTGTATTTGGTGTAACAGAATATGTTGACATGCTTTAATGTTCAAAAAACACATTATTTTTCAAATACTGTACATTA